GCCTGCGCGCGGGAGGGCGCCTAATTGGCCAGTACTGTGTGTGGGGGGGTGCATACAAATACCCTATATCCTATTATGCCCATGGGGCCGCCGCCATTCTTAACAGTGCCTATGTTACTGCATCTATAGCTCTGCAATAAAAGTATAACCGTTCCTGAAGTATAACTGCATTGTTGGCTGTGGGTTTCGGCACCGAGGAGGAGGTTTTTTGTTTGTTAGTTTAATTTCATGGGTCTCCACTGTTGATCTCATCCTCGAATTTAGGATCTGGTGCTCTCTCTGTCCGGCTGATTCCTGGTCAGGAAAAGGCCGGCCCGAGTCTTTAGATCTGGCCCTGTCGCAGGGCAGTTTTAAGTCACTGCTTTTAAATCATAGCTCAGAGGCAGAGTGCATGATTTGTGTACAGAAATCACCAGGTTCAATCCCTGGTCAAAATAGGAGCTTTGAATGACTGCAGACACATTGTGATATCTTCTGCATTTTTGGATCGGTATTTTTGCATCTCTGCATGTGTGTGTGTGTGTTTGGGGAGAGGATAGAACTCTGCAGGGTATAACACCATGGAGTCCACCCTCGAAATCAGCTATTTCCACCAGGGGAAACGATCTCTATCATCTGGCGATCAGTGTTCCCTCTAAGCTGAGTCAGTGTGAGCCAGCTCGCAGTTTTTTAGCCTCCAGCTCACACATTTTTGTCTTAGCTCGGGAAGGAGGGCTCCAGAGCAAACTAATTGATGCCGTCGCCAAATCGCTCGGTCACCACTTTGATGCCGGTAGCTCACAAAGTAGACTTTTTGCTCACACGACTCCACAGCTTAGAGAGAGCATTGGTGGGGAAGGATCAAGTGTAATTCCAGGAGATCTCCAGCCCCCACCTGGAGGCTGGCAACCCTAAAGTCACCCCTCCTTTCTTTCACCAGTGGCCCTTTTTTGTTGTTTTTAGTTTTTGCACTCATGTGTGTGCTTGCCCGTGCCTGGAAGTCATGGCGAACTCTGGCAACTCCTACTGGGGCATGGAGGACGAAGCTAGCAATCCAAAACAGTCCAGTGGAGCCTGAGCGGTGGGTGTTGCTCTGACACACTTCCGGTGATGTCAGGGGGTGTGGCATATGCAAATAAGTTATGCTAATGAGTTACGCTAATGAGCTCCTGCACCTCTTTTTCTACAAAATGACCCCTGGTAATATGTATTATTAACCTTATATAGGAAAACAGTGGAGCCATGTGACTCACCGTTATGTCAGGATCACGGGCCTCATGAATGCATGGAATGAATATATTCCCATAAGTCTGCACGCTAAGCCACTGACAGAAATAGGGAGGGGTTGTGGAGTCTCCACTGTGAGTGCAGAAGGTCCCAGATTCATTCCCCCGGCACTGCATCTCCAAATAAAAAGGATCCGGTATTAGGTGTTGTGAAAGACTTCTGCCTGAGACCCTGGAGAGCCGCTGCCAGTCTGAGTAGACAACTGACCTTGATAGTCCAAGGGTCTGATTCAGTAGAAGGCAGCTTCATGCCTGGAACTTTGGGGGAGGGCTGTGGCTCAGTGGTAGAGCATCTGCTTGGCACGCAGAAGGTCCCAGGTTCAATCCCCAGCATCTCCAGTTAAAAGAAGAAGAAGAAGAAGAAGAAGAGAAGAGATTGGATGTATACCCCGCCCTTCACTACCCAAAGGTGTCTCAGAGCAGCTTACAAACTCCTTTCCCTCCCCCTCCCCACAACAGACACCCTGTGAGGTAGGTGGGGCTGAGAGAGCTCTGATATAAACTGCTCTTTTTCAAGAACAGCTCTTATCAGAACTATGGCTTGCCCAAGGTCATCCAGCCAGGTGGAAGTGGAGGAGTGGGGAATCAAACCCGGTTCTCCCAGATTAGAGTCTGTGCACTTAACCTCTACACCAAACTGGCTCAGGCACCAAAGGACCAGGCAGTAGGTGGTATGAACAGTGGCTCAGTGGCAGAGCATCTGTTTGGCACGCAGAAGGTCCCAGGTTCAATCCCTGGCATCTCCAGTTAAAAGGACCAGCTTCAGGCATGTCCGTGCATATTCAAACGGGAGACGTCTTGCAATATAAGGAATGAAAGCGACACTTTGAAGGAAAGCACGTCCTATTCCTAGGAAGAAGGCCTTAAAAATAGACATGAGAATGAGCTCCTGTACCGACATACAAGTTTGCCATTAGCTTGCCACCCCACCAATTAAATAAAGTGATAAGCAAACCGATAAATGAGTTTGCCATTAACTCGCTACCTTGCCAATTAAAACCGTCTCGTCAATCTTTTAATCTGATGGTTAAATCGCTTAGTTTTTGCAGCCGGGGCCGATACGAAAGAAGTCAGCTGAGCGGCTGGGAAAGGGGGAGGCCTGGCTCGCATTATTTTCTGTCAGTCCTGATAGGGAGTTCGTTACTCAGGCTTAATGGAGACTTAATGGAGGTAGTGCCGAGGTTATCTAAAGGCCAGGTGAGATTAGGACCACCCAGAAGGAACGGGACACCCTGGGCGACTTTTTGGATAAGGATACCCTAGGGGGGAAGGCAATGGAACAGAGTCTCCATATCTCTGTGTTTGTACAGTGCTGTTACGGTTGCCAGGCAGGGCTGACAAGCCGGTGGGGGGCTTTCCAGGAGCCTCCGGGAGATGGGAGAGATGAAGTACCATTGAACGCCAAAGGGAGTTCTAGCTGTCACATTTATAGAGGCCCTAAAGAACATTGGTTACATGAGAAACATGTGACTTCCTGTGAGTAACATAAACAAACATTTAACCCCAGATATACTGAGTGTTTTCAACTTGTAATACCCAACAAGATGCTATGGTGAAAATCTGGTGCCTCTACCTCAAAAAACAGCCCCCCCGATCCCCACTGATCAGTTCTCCATTATACCCTATGGGGACTGCGAGCTAGCTGGCATCCAGTCTGCCCCTATGGGTTTTCTTTTGCATCTCCCTCCCAGCCCATGGGGACTTAGGGGAGAGGGTTTGCCTGCCCTAGGGGCCACTGACCCGCCGGCCTGGATCTGGCCACCGGGTGGAACCTTATCCCCCAAAGTATCTGAATCGGGCCAACATGCCCAGCATGATGACGTCGCCCGGAAGTGATGTCATCACACCGGGCACGTCGTAGGGGGATGCTTCCGGGTGCTACTCCCGGACACAGAGCTTCTCCCCTCCCCACTGGATGGCAGGTAGGGACCTGGCAACCCGATCGGGACTTACGGTGAGGATCAGGGCTATTTTTGGGCAGGAACGCACAGGAACGGAGTTCTGGATGGCTCCCAAGTTGGCCACACCCAGCAGGAGCTCATTAGCATTATAGGCCACACCCAACAACAGGTGCAGGAACTCATTAGGATTGGCTACAGTTAGGGGTGTGTGGCCTAACCTGCAAAGGAGTTCCTGCTACAAAAAAAGGCCTTGGGTTTTGACAACAAACAAGGTAAACAGAATAAGAAGGGAAAGGTGGGTGTGGCTGGATGACCACACTTCTGGTAACATGGGGGTGCGGCCTAATATGCTAATGAGCTGTGTGGCCTAATAGGCTAGTGAGGTTCTGCTGTTGGGTGTGGTCTATTATGCTAATGAGTTCCTGCTGGGCTTTTTCTACAAAAAGAACCCTGGTGAGGATACAACTTGAAGCTTACTGGCTGCTATCCTTTATACAGTTTATATCTCCGATACCTGGCATTGTGTTTAATGGCACACATGGCTCGGCCTGACAAAGTGACATCTATGTCAGATCCGGCCCTCATTAACAAACGAGTTCCACGCCTCTAGCCTAGTGGATAGAGTTTTGGACTAGCATCTGGGGAGACCTGGCTTCGAATCTCTACTCCTACCATGGAAGCCAACTCGGTGACCTTGCGCCCATCACAAACTCTCAGCCTGGCCTACCCCACGGGGTTGTTGTGAGAAAATGGAGCACGGGAGAACGACGTGAGTCCCAAATGGGAAGAAAAGCAGGACGTAAATAAATAAAGGCAGATGCATACAGGGCCGCCCCCAGCATATTTTGCACCCTAGACGAGGATCCCTTCTGGCACCCCCCGTGCCCCCCCATGCGCCCCCCCGGTCAGAGCCAGCGGGGGCGCTTTTGGCGGGGGGGTGGGTGCAGTTTGGCGCCCCTAAGGGAGACACATTCACACTTCCGGGTGCGCCGCTTACTTAGCGCCAGGACTCAGCAACATCTGACGAAACACGTGCCACAGCTCTCTTGAAAAACTTTGAGGCTGAGATCACGAGAGGAGACACAGAAAGCTTAGTCTGTAACACCAAATATGTCGCAGCCGCTTGTTCACACGTGGCAGCCACCCCCCCAATGCTGCCGTCCTGCCTGGAGTGATATAAGTACGTGGAGGGGTGTCAGCCACCTTTCAAAGCAGCTGTTTTCTCCAGGGGAGCTGATCTCTGTCAGCTGGAGATCAGCGGTAAAAGCGGGAGATCCCCAGGCCCCACCTGGAGGCTGGCAGCCATATGAGCAAGTGATTTGGCTACTGCATAAATTAGTCTGCTCTGAACTAAGACAAAAATGTGTGAGCCAGTGTTCCCTCTAAACTGAGTTAGTGTGAGCTAGCTCACAGTTTTTTAGCCTCCGGCTCACACATTTTTGTCTCAGCTCAGGAAGGATGGCTCCAGACCAAACCAATTTATACAGTAGCCACATCTCCCGCTCACAACTTTAATGCCAGCAGCTCACAAAGTACGATTTTTGCTCAGAAGACTCCACAGCTTAGAGGGAGCATTGGTGTGAGCCAGAGGCTAAAAAACTGTGAGCTAGCTCACACTGACTCAGCTTAGAGGGAACACTGACCGCCACCCACTGCTCTGGCAGCACCTCAGTGGAAATGGGACAGAGAGACATATTCACACTTCAGGGTGCGCCGCTTGCTTAGCGCCAGGACTTAACAGCATCTGATGAAACACGTGCCACAGGTCTTTTGAAAAACTTAGAGGCTGAGATCACGAGAGGAGACACAAAAGGCTTAGTCTGTGACACCGAATATGTCGCAGCCGCTCGTTCACACGTGGCAGCCACCCCCCAATGCTGCCGTCCTGCCTGGAGTGATACAAGTACGTGGAGGGGTGTCAGCCATGAAGTAAAGCTAAAACCCAGGGCTATTTTTGGGCAGGAACACACAGGAACGGAGTTCCGGCTGGCTCCCAAGTTGGCCACGCCCAGCAGGAACTCATTAGCATAATAGGCCACACCCAACAGCAGAAACTCATTAGGATTGGCTACATTAGGGGTGTGTGGCCTAACATGCAAAGGAGTTCCTGCTACAAAAAAAGCCCTGGGTTTTGACAACAAACAAGGTAAACAGAATAACAAGCAAAAGGTGGGTGTGGCTGGATGACCACACTTCTGGTAACATGGGGGTGTGGCCTAATATGTTAATATGATGTGCTGTCAGGGGTGTGGCCTAATATGCTAATAGATTTCTGCTGTTGGGTGTGGCCTATTATGCTAATGAGTTCCTGCTGGGCTTTTTCTACAAAAAAAGCCCTGACGAAAACCCTATTTTATCACCCCCCAGAGAAACGGAACACATCTACCAGTTCCTGTTTAAACTGCAAATGTATGCAAATCAGTGTAATTTATGAAGCGCGAGAGACTTTTCTGATGCCAACAATGCCCATCCTGTGGTCGGGACCTGAGTTAAAGCCCTGACGAGAACCCTATTTTATCACCCCCCAGAGAAACGGAACACATCTACCAGTTCCTGTTTAAACTGCAAATGTATGCAAATCAGTGTAATTTATGAAGCGCGAGAGACTTTTCTGATGCCAACAATGCCCATCCTGTGGTTGGAGGACCCGCGTGCACCCTGTCCCAGCTGGTATCTCGAGGACAGGCTCAACCAGCTGTTGTAGAAAAACTTCATCTGTCTGTATCGATCAGGTACAGCGAGGGTTGCCAGCGATGCTCCCTCTAAGCTGTGGAGTCTTGTGAGCAAGGATTCTACTTTGTGAGCGACTGGCATTTAAGGGGTGAGCGAGCGATTTGGCTGCTGCATAAATTAGTTTGCGCTGGAGCCATCCCATTCCTGAGCGGAGACAAAAATGTGTGAGCCGGGGGCTAAAGAACTGTGAGCGAGCTCACACTGTGAGCTAGCTTAGGGGGAACACTGGTTGCCGGGTCTCCTCTGGCCACTGTTGTGGGAGATGGAGGAAGAATCGCCAGATCCGGGTTGGGGAAATCCTGGAGATTTGGGGATCGAACCTGGGGAGGACAGGGACCCTCAGTGGGGTGCAATGCCACAGAGTCCATCCTCCAAACCATCCATTCCCCCCCCCCCCCCCGGTCCCCCCCCCCCCCGGGAACTGATCTCTGCAGTCTGGAGATGAGCTGTAATTCCGGGGGATTCCCAGGTCCCACCTGGAGGCTGGCATCCCTAGGTACAGCTAGGGTTACCAGCTCTGGCTTTGGGAATTCCGGGAGAATTGGGGGCAGGGGGGGGGAGTCCAGAGATGTGAGGCCGTAGAGTCTGCACTCCAAAGCCCCCCTTTCCTCTAGGGAAACTGCCCTGTGTTGTCTGCCAAGCAGCAGAAATTTTGGGAGAACTCCTGCTCCCTCCATTAGGTTGCAAAAAAAGGGGGGAAGCCAGTGTACAATACAAGAAGCACAAAAAGAAACACCACTGACTGAAAATAAACAAATATATAATAATCATATAGGTATACAGTAAGTATAATGTAAATTCAATTGGCCAAAGTACAGTGATAAGACATAGTCTACAGTCTTTCCATGTGTCTTACTCCAGCATAGAGGCAATATCAAAGTCCAAATTGAAGTACATGTCATCAAATTTTCTGAGCCATAAAAAGCCGACGCGTAATCCGGATGCCTGATGTCGTGTATATGCCAGTTTTTGAGATTGGGTTCCATTACAGCCATGCTTGAATAAGAATTATTCGAAACGCGACATCAGGCATCCGGATTACGCGTCGGCTTTTTATGGCTCAGAAAATTTGATGACATGTACTTCAATTTGGACTTTGATATTGCCTCCATGCTGGAGTAAGACACATGGAAAGATTGTAGACTATATGTCTTATCACTGTTTGTTGTTGTTGTTGTTCAGTCGCACAGTCGAGTCCGACTCTTCGCGACCCCATGGATCATCTCCCGCCAGGCCCTCCTGTCTTCCGCCGTCCTCTGAAGTTGGCTCAATTTCATGTTCGTTGCATCGATGACACTGTCTAACCATCTCATCCTTTGCCGTCCCCGTCTTCTTTGACCTTCAATCTTTCCCAGCATCAGGGTCTTCTCCAGGGAGTGCTCCCTTCTCATTTGGTGGCCAAAGTATTTGAGCTTCAGTTTCATTATCTGGCCTTCCAGGGAACAGTCAGGGTTGATTTCTTTTAGGATTGACTGATTTGATCTTTTTGCAGTCCAAGGGACTCTCAAGAGTCTTCTCCAGCACCATAGTTCAAAAGAATCTATTCTTCGGCGCTCGGCCTTCCTTATAGTCCAACTCTCGCAGCCATACATGACTACTGGGAATACCATTGCTTTGACCATGCGGACTTTTGTTGGCAGGGTGATGTCTCTACTTTTTATCATGCTGTTTAGGTTCGCCATCGCTTTCCTCCCAAGGAGCAGGCGTCTTTTAATTTCATGGCTGCTGTCACAGTCTGCGGTGATCTGGGATCCCAGGAACATGAAGTCTGTCACTACTTTGTACTTTGTACTTTGGCCAATTGATTTACATTATACTTACTGTACACCTATATGATTATTATATATTTGTTTATTTTCAGTCAGTGGTGTTTCTTTTTGTGCCCCCTCCTGTAGGTTGGCAACCCTAGGTACTCCCCCCTTTCTGGTATCTGTCTCTGGGATGGGCTGCATGTTGGGAGCGGCCATGGTGGTCCCTCCGAAGCCTGAAATGAATTGGATACGGGCTTGTGCTCAATTTGCCACTTTCATTCCCTTCTGTCCCTCCCCTATACATGCTTAGATTCGAGTCCAGTTGTGCCTTAGGGACCCACAAGATTTTGGAGGTATGAGCTTTCAAGAGTCCGACAAACAGAGCTTTGGTTCTTGAAAGCTTGTACCCCCAAAACCTGAAGCTCAGGCTCATTCTGTAATCCAGGCTGTCCATATTAACACAACAGTCTAGAAATCAGGTGTAATTCCAGGAGGTCTCCACCCCCCCACCCCTCCGGAGTTTGGCAACCCTTAAAGCCAGTGCAGGTGTCAGCAAGCTGCCAATATGTTTCCCTATTCTCTGTGTATGCTCTTATGTTTCCCTATTCTCTGTGTATGCGCTTGTTTGCTTTCGCTTCCCCATGTATGCCTGTTTACGTGCTTAATTGCCTAGTTGTAGGAACGTCCGTATCTCTCAAGGCCCCAGGTGGTTGCTGGCGGGTAGTAGCTTGGGTGATCTCATGGCACTATCCATGAGAAGCAGTATGTTATGATTAAGTAGGAGCGTTGCTTCCCAGGCTCAATGGCGCGCGGGGGAAGTCCCGCAATTGGGCCTCAGCTTTTTGAATTTACTATAATCGATTGGGATCCATGCTTATGCCTCATTCTGAACAGTGATCCTGTTATGCACCTATTGCTTCAAATAAAGTAAAACCTTCTTCTACAAGTGTGTACTTCGTTGATGCGATGGGAGTCTGACAGCAGGCCAGCCTACGCGTGGCTTTCAGCTACTCCAGCAGTGAGACCTTAGGCAGGGCAAACCTCAGATTTGGGGGCCCCAAGGTGGACCCAATACCCCATTGTGCTTCTCACTTACAGGGCAGAGGGAGTGGAATGTGATTCTGTTGTCTTCTTTTAAGGCCTGATGCTGTGTAAAAAGATAACACACCAAGTTTAGGGTTGCCAGTCTCCAGGTGGGCACGGGGGATCTCCTGGGATTTCAACTCATCTCTAGACAACAGAGATCAGTTCCCCAGCGGGAAATGGCTGGGGCGGAGGGGGGACTCCACGGCATTTTACCCTCCCCAAACCCCACCCTCTTCAGGCTCCGCCACTGAATCTCCAGGAATTTCCAAACCCAGAGTTGGCAAGGGGCCTCTGAAGTGGCCTGACCTTCCATTTCCAGTGGAAACAGGTTAAGCACAGAGTTGCCAACTCCTGGCTGGGAAATTCCTGGAGGTTTGGGGGGAGAGCCCGGGGAGGGCAGGGTTGGGGGGAGGGAGGGCCCTCAGCAAGGTAAAAGGCCATAGAGTCCACCCTCCCAAACAGTCATTTTTTTCTCCACGGGAACTGATCTCTGTAGCCATAGTTCTGTATTGAAAGAGCAGTTCTCCCCTGGAGAAAATGGCTGCTTTGGATGGTGGACTCTTGATAGGGCAGCTCTTGAAAGAGCTCTCTCAGCCCCACCCACCTCACAGGGGGTCTGTTGTGGGGAGGAGAAGGGGAAGGACTTTGTAAGCCACTTTGAGACTCCGAGTGAAGGGTGGGGCATAAATCCAAACTCCTCTTCCTCCTCCCTCTTCTCCTCCCTCTTCTTCTTCTCCTCCTTCTTCTCCTCCTTCTTCTTCTCCTCCTTCTTCTTATTCTCCTCCTCCTCCCTCTTCTTCTCCTCCTCCTCCTTCTCCTCCTCCTCCTCCTTCTTCTCCTTCTGGAGATGAATTGTGTGTACTGGCCCTGCCAGGCCTCCCGCCGGCAGCCCCCCTCGCCCTGCAGTGATGTCACTTCCCGGAACTCCCCCGAAGTGGTCGCTCTAGGGATTGCCAGGAACTTGATGGTTTCCTCGAAGTTCCCGCCGGTTGCCCGGCAACCCTGAGACCCGCAGCCGCCCCCTGGGCCCGGCGGGATGCCGGGCGGCTTTGCCTGCCTCCTCCTGCCCCTCTCTGACCAGCAAGCTGCTCTTTTCCCCCCGCAGGCGCTCCGTTTCAAAGGTCTCAGCATCCTCACGCTACCTCCTGCCGGCACTTCCACCTGGGCCCCCAGCCTCAGATGTCCGCTGACTTCCCCCTCCCGCACGCCGTCCAGCCTCACGTGGCGACCGCTCACCAGCACGGCGGCCCGCTCCACCAGCCCCTGCCGCCTCTGCCTGCCCTGCCATTCCAGGATGTGACGGGACCCTCTTTCCTACCTCAGGCCCTACACCAGCAATACCTCCTCCAGCAGCAGCTCCTCGAGGCCCAGCACCGCAGACTCATGCCGCATCCCAGGTGAGTGGTCCCAGAGGGGTCCGGGCGCCACGGCACCCGACCGGTGGTTGCGCCGTTTGGAGCACGAGTCTGTTCCTGGATGGTTTCAAGCAGGGCTGTTTTTGGGCAGGAACGCACAGGAACGGACTTCCGGCTGGCTCCCGAGATGGCCACGCCCAGCAGGAACTCATTAGCATAACAGGCCACACCCAACAGCAGGAACTCATTCGGATTGGCTACATTAGGGGTGTGTGGCCTAACATGCAAAGGAGTCCCTGCTACAAAAAAAGGCCCTGGGTTTTGACAACAAAGTAAGCAGAATAAGAAGCAAAAGGTGGGTGTGGCTGGATGACCACACTTCTGGTAACATGGGGGTGCATCCTAATGTGCTAATGAGCTGTGCTGGCAGGGGCGTGGCCTAATATGCTAATGAGTTTCTGGTGTTGGGTGTGGCTTATTATGCTAATGAGTTCCCACTGGCCTTTTTCTACAAAAAGAGCCCTGCACTGGTGAGAGGGTTGCCAGCAATGATCCCTCTAAGCTGTGGAGTCTTGTGAGCAAAAAGTCTACATTGTGAGCTACTGGCGTTAAAGGTGTGAGCGAGACATTTGGCTGCTGCATACGTTAATCTGCTCTGGAGCCCTCCTTCCCGAGCTAAGACAAAAATGTGTGAGCTGGAGGCTAAAAATTTGTGACCTAGCTCACACTAACTCAGCTTAGAGGGAACACCGGTTGCCAGGCCGTGCTGGTAAGGTTGCTGGCTCCAGGTTGGGAACTACCTGGAGATTTGGGGGGTGGGGCTTGAGAAGGGTGGGGCTGGGGGGAGGAGAGGGACTTCAGTGGGGTTCAATGCCGTAGAGCCCACCCTCCAACGCAGCCATTTTCTCCAGGGGAACTGATCTCTGCCACCAGGAGATCTGTTTGCTTGTTTGTTTGTTTTATTCAATTTATATCCCACCCTCCCCGCAAGCAGGCTCAGGGCGGGTTACAGGTCACATAAGATGTGACAGTAAAACAATAGGGAAAGGTAAAGGTTCCCTTGCTCGAAAGGCAGTCGAATCCGACTCTAGGGGGCGGTGCTCATCTCCATTTCCAAGCCAAAGAGCTGGCGCTGTCCGAAGACATTTCTGTGGTCATGTGGCCGGCATGACTAGACGCCGAGGTGCACGGAACGCTGCTACCTTCCCACTGAAGCGGTACCTATTGATCGACTTGCAATTTCTTGCTTTCGAACTGCTAGGTTGGCAGGAGCTGGAACTAGAGACAGGAGCTCACTCCGTCATGCGGCACACTCGGGTCTCGAACTGCTGAACTACTGACCTTCCGGTCTGCAGTTCAGCGTCTTAACCACTGAGCCACCGCAGCCCCTAGTAAAACAATAGAGTATCAGAAATATTACAAAGTTAAACATTAAAAAGTTAAGAGGAGGATAATAAGACCAGCATAAGACATTGCCTTAGTAGCGGCGCTATGATGTAGTTCTTCTGAGAGTTGCCGATGCTGTTGACCGCTGGACATAAAGCCAGGGCTACTAGTAGCAGAGGCTGAGAGATGGTAGAATTTGGGGAGTAGTGTATGCAAAAGAGATCTTGGGGTAAGAGTGGACTGTTAACTGAATATGAGCAGTCAGTGTGATGCGGTGGCAAAAAAGGCAAAATCAGCCTTGGGTTGTATGAAAAGGGCCATAGCATCGAAATCGCAGGAGGTCATAGCCCCTCTGTATACTGCCTTGGTCAGGCCGCACCTGGAGTAATGTGTGCAGTTCTGGAGGCCTCACTTCGAAAAGGATGTGGGCCAAATCAGGAGGGTGCTGAGGAGAGCGACGGGGACGATCAGGGGTCTGGAGACTGAGCCCTACGAGGAAAGGCTAAGGGCCTTGGGAATGTTCAGTTTGGAGAAGAGGAGACTGAGGGGGGACACGATTGCTCTCTTTGAATATCTGAAAGGCTGTCCTTTGGAGGAAGGCAAGGAGCTGTTCCAGTTGGCAGCAGAGGAGAGGACCCGAAGCAATGGGTTTAAATTACATGCAGAAAGGTATCGGCTGGATATCAGGAAAAGCTTTTTCACAGTCAGAGTGGTTCAAAGGTGGAATCGGCTGCCTAGGGTGGTGGTGAGCTCCCCTTCACTGGCAGCTTTCAAGAAGAGGCTGGAAGGATATTTGTCAGAGATGCTTGAGGCTGGTCCTGCATTGGGCAGGGGGTTGGACTAGATGGTCTGTGTGGCCCCTTCCAACTCTTATGATTCTATGATTCTATACCCACCGCCTCAACTAAAAGCCCGGTGGAAGAGCTCTGTCTTATTATACCTGTAATAGCAGGAGATCTCCCGCCACCACCTGGAGGTTAACACATCCTCCAAATGAGACATGTCTATACTAGAAGAATACATATACAGAGTATTCCACCAGCTGGAGGTTGGCAACCCTGCCGAAGGTGGACACTAATCAGCAAAAGTTCATGCAATGCTCCTGGCGCCATCCTAAGCAGAATCACACCTTTCTTAGCTCATTGAGTTCCGCGGACTTCGAAGGGTGCAACTCTGTTTAGGATTGCCCCATCAATCAGCTGGTCTTTGTACTGCAAAAGCGCTTGTTGTTTCCTTTTGCAACAAGAGACGATCAACGTTTCCATTCTGGAATATATGCAAAGTACTCTTTGCATAAACATGATCAATTTGCATACCTAACTTTGTGTTTACGGCTGGGCTATTCAGGCTTCCTCTGGAACGAACGGAGGTATTCTTGACAGATAAAGTA